AAAAAAAAAAAAAAAAAGGAAAATACATTTTTCTTCTCAGCCAATTGTACATACTCCAAAATCAACCACATCCTAGGATACAAATCAAACCTCAGCAAAATTAAAAGAATAGAAATTATACCTTTATCTTCTCAGACCACAAGGCAATAAAGGTGGAACTCAACTCCAACAAAAACGTTCACCCTCACACAAAGATGTGGAAATCAAACAACCTTATGCTGAATGATAGTTGAGATCAGGAAGAGATAAAAAAGGAAACCACTGAATTCCTCAAACATAACAACAATGAACACACAAGTTACCAAAACCTGTGGGATACAGTAAAAGCATTCTTAAGAGGGAAATTTATTGCATTAGATGCCTACATTGAAAATACAGGAAGAAAGCACACATCAACAAACTCAGGAACCATCTTATGGAATTAGAAAAAGAAGAACAATGTAGTCCCAAACCCAACAGAAGAAAAGAAATAAGCAAAATTAAATCAGAGATTAATGAAATTGAAAACAAAAGAATCATTCAGAAAATTAACAAAACAAAAAGTGCGGTTTTTTGAATAAATAAATAAATAAACCTTTGGCCAGATTAACTAGAAACAGAAAAGTAAAATCTCTAATAGCCTCAATCAGAAATGATAAAGGGGAAATAACAACAGATGCCATAGAGTTCTAAGAGATCATCTCTTGAGTACTACAAGAAACTCTATGCCCAGAAATTTGACATTCTGGAGGAAATGGATCAATACCTGTAATCACACCCTCTCCCTACACTTAACCAAGAAGAAATAGATCTCTTGAAAGCACTGAATTCAAGAACTGAAATGGAAGAAACAATAAAAAAATCTCCCAACAAAAAATGCCCTGGTCCAGATGGCTTCACACCAGCTCAAAGAAGAGCTTATACCCATATTGCAGAAACTATGCCAAAAAATTGAGAAGGGAGGAATCTCCCTCAACACATTCTATGAAGCAAATATCTCCCTGATACCAAAACCAGGTAACGATCCAACTAAAAAGGAGAATTTCAGATCAATTTCACTAATGAATATAGATGCAAAAATTCTCAATAAAACCCTAGCCAGTAGATTACAGCTACACATTAAAAAATCATTCATCACAATCAAGTAGGTTTCATACCAGGGATGCCAGGCTAGTTTAACATACACAAGTCCATAAACGTAATTCACCATATCAACAGAAGCAAAATCAAAGACCATATAATCTTCTCAATAGATGCAGAAAAAGCATTTGATAAAATTCAGCATCCTTTACTAATCAGAACTCTGAAGAATATAGGTATAAGTGACACATTTCTGAATCTGATCAAATCCATCTATGACAAACCCACAGCTAATGTTATCCTTAAGGGAGTAAAATTGAAAGCTTTTCCACTTAGAACTGGGACCAGAAAAGGTTGTCCTCTATTGCCACTACTATTCAACATGGTGCAGGAAGTTACAATCAGGCAAGAGAAGGAAATAAAGGGTATCCCAAATGAGTTCAGAGGAGGCCAAACTCTCGCTCTTTGCTGGCAATATGATCTTATACCTAGAGAACTCCAAAGACTCAACCAAAACTCCAGGAAGTGATCAAAAAATACAGCAATGTCTCAAGGCATAAAATCAATGTTGACAAATAGGTAGCCTTTGGATATGCCCATAACAACCTAGAGGAGAAGCTAATAAAGGACACAATTCCCTTCACAGTAGCTAAAAAAGAAAAGAAAGAAATATATAGGAATATATATAACAAAAGAGGTGAAGGAAAGAAAATTACAAGAAATTTACAAAAAATATTATAAAATTCTAAGAGAAGAAATAGCAGAAGATATTAACGAATGAAAGAACATACCATGCTCATGGCTGGGAAGAATTAACATTGTGAAAATGTCTATACTTCCCAAAGTAGTCTACAGATTTAATGCTATCCCCATTAAAATACCATCATCATACTTTCACAATTTGGAAAAAATAATTCTTCATTTTTTTTATTAAATGATAGCTGTGTACATTAATGCAATCATGGGGTACAGTGTAGTGTTTTTGTATATAATTTGAAATATTTTATCAAACTGGTTAACATACACTTTATGACATTTACTTAGTTATTGTGTTAAGAGTATAAATGTCTTAATTCTTTATTTTGTATGGGACCAGAATAAGCCTTGTATAGTCAAGGCAATGTTTACTCATAAAAACAAAGCCAGTGGTATCACCCTACCAGACTTTCAGCTACACTTCAAGGCCATAATGATCAAAACAGCATGGTATTGGCACAAAAATAGAGACATAGACATTTGGAACTGAATAGAAAACTATGAGATGAAACCAACCTCTTACAGCCACCTGATCTTTGATAAACCAAACAAGAATACACACTAGGGAAAAGAATCCCTATTCAATAAACGGTATTGGGAGAAATGGATAACTGTATGTAAAAGACCAAACCTAGACCTACACCTCTCACCACTTACAAAAATTGATTCAAGATGGATAAAATATTTAAATCTAAGAAATGAAACACTAAACATCCTTTTTTTTTTTTTGAGACAGAATCTTAAGCTATTGCCCTGGGTAGAGTGCCATGCCATCATAGTTCATATCAACCTCCAGCTCTTGGGCATAAGCAATCCTCTTGCCTCAGTTTTTCTATTTTTAATAGCAATAGGGTCTTGCTTTTGCTCAGACTGGTCTTAAACTCATGAGTTCAAGCAATCCACCCACCTTGGCCTCCCAGATTGGTAGGATTATAGGCATGAGCCACCATGCCTGGCCAAAACACTAAAAATCCTTTAAGAAAGTGTGGGGAAAACACTTGAAGATATAGGTGTGGGGAAAGATTTTATGAAGACGACTTCTATAGCAATTGCAACAATAACAAAAATACACAAATGGGACTTAATTAAACTGAATAGCATCTCTACAGCTAAGGAAACAACAACCAAAGTTAACAGACAACCTTCAGAATGTGAAAAAAATATTTGTATATTATGAATTGGACAAAAGCTTGATAACTAGGATCTATAGAGAACTCAATTAATCAACAAAAAAAGACCAAACAATCCCATATATCTCTGAGCAAAAGACATGAATAGAACCTTCCCTAAAGAACGCACACGAATGTCTAAAAAAATATGAAAAAATGCTCATCATCCCTAATCATCAGAGAAATGTAAATCAAAACTACCCTGAGTATGTCACCTAATGTCAGTGAAAAGCTTCCATATAACAGTCTCAAAGCTGCAGATGCTGGTGTGGATGTGGAGAGAAGGGAGCACTTTTACACTGCTGGTCGGACTGCAAACTAATACAACCTTTTTGGAAGGAAGTACGGAGAATCCTCAAAGAACTCAAATAAGACCTCCCATTTGATCCTGCAATTTCATTACTAGGCATCTACCCAGAAGAAAAAAAAAAATCCTTTTATCATAAGGACATTTGCACTAGGCTGTTTATGGTAAGCTCAACTTACAATCACCAAAATGTGGAAACAGCCTATATACCCATCAACCCATAGATTAGATTAACAAGCTGTGGTATATGTATACCATGGACTACTATTCAGCCACTAAAAAAGATGGAGACTTTACATCTTTTGTATTAAATTGGATGGAGGTGGAACACATTCTTCTTAGTAAAGCATCAAAAGAATGGAGAAGCAAGGATCCAATGTACTCTATTCTAATATGAAGGCAGTAGATGAGCTAATACAACAGGGAGTAGGGGAATGAATAAGTGGAGAGAGGGGAGAGGGAGGGGATAGAGGGGTCATAGGGGTCACAGTGTATGGCACAGCTCTTTGGGGCAGGACACAATTATAAAAGGGACTTTATCTAATAAATGCCACCAGTGTACTCCCAAACAATAAACAAAAATCAATAATTTTTAAAAAGAGAGGATGGCTCTTAAGGGCTGATTGGTCCCTTTTCTTTTTTCTTTTCTTTTCTTTTTTTTTTTTTTTTTTGAGACAGAGCCTCAAGCTGTCCCTCTGGGTAGAGTGC